TAATATTAATTTAATTTTAGTATTAGTATATTAATACTAAAGTAAATTTTTCTTAGTATTAGTATATTAATATTAAAATAAATTAGTATTAGTATATTAATATTAAAATTAAATTAGTTTAGTAAATACTAAAAAAAAATACTAATTAATATAAATACTAAAAAAAAAATACTAATAGTATAYTAATACTAAAAAAAATTTAATATTAATATATTAATACTAAGGAATTTTTAGTATACTAAAAATACTAAAATACTAATTAGTATTTTGGAAAACCCTGGTAGTGGTGGAGGCCGAGGTAGGCCCTTGCGTAGTTGACAGTATCGTAGACACCATTGTAGACTTTTCATCTTCTTTAGTCGAGGCGCCATCATCGCCAGTATCATTATCGTCCTCGTTCTTGTCACCGGGCTCTTTCTCCGGGACAGGCTTGGCAGTCGGGGCAGGAGGCTTGGCCGCGTCACCACCTCCAGGAACACCATACAACTTCCAAAACCATCCAAAGGGAAAGATGACAATAGCGGCACCATTATCATCTGTGGTGGTGGTCGTACCAGTGAATGAAATGTAATCTTTGTTTTGCTCAGGGACATATGTGGCTACTGTGCCGTCTGTGCCTGTGACAATGCTATTCGCCAAGGCAACCTCTGAAGATGGCACGGTACTTGTTCTTGTTGGTTGCCTTGAGATCGTTAACGTCTTCTCATTCGTCATGGACTCATGGACAGATGTTGTGATTCTTCCTGTAGTCTGAGGAGTAGTTGAGAGTTGGGCGGTATCTTGCGAGTTTGGCAGACTCGTTAGGCTTTCTAAATTCGCTGTGCTGGATGCCATTCCCGGCTGAGAACTCTCGAGGGTCTGAGAAGCTTCCGTCGGCGGTCAAGGCCTCAGTGGATGGAATTGTACTGCCCGGCTCATCCTGAGTTTGAACTGCAGTAGATGTTGGATCGTATGTGCCAGTTGGTCCTTCGTAAAGTGTCGTTAACAGCGATGTTTCACTAGGAGGGTTGTCCGTGTCGATAGCTGTACCGAGTTCCTGGGACCGTGAAATTTCAGAGGTTTCGGGCGACACGACAGAGGGATTTGGCGAAGTGGTTGAAATTTGTTGAATTGCGGTGTCAATGGCTGGCAAAGTAGCCGTGGTGCTACGAGCATGGAAGGATGTGTTAACACCAGGCGTGGCCCCCATGGAAGGCTCAATGGCAGTCGGGTCTTGTCCAGTCAGCGGATGCGTCTTGCTGAAGAGAAGCTCCTGAGTGGTGGGAGTGTCGGGAAGCAATGCTGTCCAGTCAATTCCACTAGAAGTTGCAGAAGTGCCTCCTCCTAATGGCGGGGCAGGAATGCTCCCAGGAGAGAGACTGAGAGCTTCAGAGGTGGCATGATCAATACTTCCTTCAGTACCGGTATTGGGATCGATACCAGTACTCTCGAAAGAGTCAAGAGAGTGAAGCGTACTTTCGTCAACCAGTTGGCGCGTTGGAGTTGGGAGGAGAATATGAAGAGAAGTGCCAATGCTAGTAGTATTGCCTGGAAGGGTCCTGCTAGTCAAATGAGTGGCAGCTGATGGCAGTTCATAAGCTTGGGTGTATCTCTTCAACAAATGTGCGTCACCAAGAAGATTGGCCTGGGACTTCCTCACTAAAAGGTCAAGAAGAACTACTTTAAGTTGGTAAAAAGAGACCATTGTGTCGAGGCGAAGTAGAAAGAGCCAAAAGAGCAACAAGTGAATGAAAGAACGCGACAATGGAAACAGAGACTGAAATGTGATTATCGAACGAAGAAGAAAAAAGCGGTCGTTCGAAAACCGTGGACCTGGGGATCGTGAGGTACCAGATATAGCAACGTTGGCATAGCCATGACAAGCCAACAGCAGCTGGACCAACATGTCGAGGCTGGCGCAATCTATTTGGGAAAGACACGAGTTTCCCGCTGAGATTAAGAGGAGCGTAACGCGCAATGTGACCCAATCCAACTGACCAATGTTCACGACCAATTCTATTGTATTAGTGGGTAGTTGTTGGTTCCAACGACTTTGCAAGTCCTTCTATTATCAGCGCTTCAGGCAGTCGACCAAGGACCTGCACACTATAATTAACCCAGCGGGGATGTTAGCGCTTTGTTCTGGCCCCTACCTAAATCATCAGGTCATAATGCGAAGTTTACAGGGTTGTCGGCCAACAACCAACAACCAACCGACTCTGCGATCCACGTTGTAGGAGTCCTAGGCCTTGCAACTTTTTGCACAATATCAGTAGACATGTCTCCTTCTTCCATGAATAATGTCGAAAACTATCACGGCAATCAGAGCCGAATAGAAAGCTCCGTGAAGTGTCATTGACTTAGTGAGGAACTTTACCGTGTATTGATCTAAGTTCACTGCAGCGCCAGCCTGGAACGCAAACCCCGATACCATTTGGACTCTTTGCCTCTGGACTGCGACTAAGATAGTGCAAGCTTTGATTCATTCTGAGATTCCCCGTGTATCAGATCTCTCTAGGTAACATGCCTGATTAGAAGCCATTGGCGATGGTGCTCAGTGAATTCTCTTTGGGATCTGTGTCTCAGCGCTGTCAAGTCATTCACTAACACTCTGTAGACCCGGGTATGAAGTTAGGACTGGATTGGCGGTCACACCTAAGGACGAGGGGGCTCTAGGATCAAACATGCAATTCTAATGACCTCTATTCAGAACACGATCGCCCCTCCGTCTACGACAATGTCCGTTCCGTTCATGTAAGTTCCCGCAGAGCTTGCCAACAGTACCACCGCACCCGTCAACTCGCAAGGAGCACCCATACGGCCACTTGGGTTCCGTTCCGCCCAAATCCTACGATGCCCAGATATTCCGTCGCCCTCATTCAAGATTGTGTCCATATACCCTGGACTGATAGTGTTGGTGCGAATGCCATAGCGAGCCCACTCCGCAGCCAGACAGTTCTTTAGCGTCAATAATGCTGCTTTGCTGACATTATAAGCCGCTTGGGGTTGGGGATAGTTAACACGGTGTGCTGAGATGGAAGACGTGAAGGTAATTGATCCTCCAGTGCCTTGCTTGACCATTTGACGGGCTGCAGCTTGTGCACAGATGAACGACCCAGTCGTGTTGATGTCAATAATCTTGCGCCACTGAGATACAGGCATTTCCAACGTGTCGACACATCCAACGACACCGACAAAGCAGACTAGGCCGTCAACTGAGCCGAGAGTCGCCACTGTCTCCTCAACGGCGTCTTGTACTGCTTTTTCATCTGTCACGTCGACCTTCATTGTCTTGATTCTTGCATTAGGGAAACGCGTTTGAAGAGAGGCGATTTCGTCCTTGGCTTGTGTGGGATTAACATCAAGGATTGCAAGACCTTCGAGTCCATGTTCCAAAAGAGCGTTGCATGAAGCAAGTCCAAGGGTACCTGTACCCCCAGTAACGATAAAGTTGCCGCGCACAGAAAATCGCTCTTTGGCTCCAGTGGCTGGATCGATGGTGGCTTTGTTGCTTGGTGGTGCAGTCAAAGACGATGCTGAGCCGTCGCTGAGGATCATGGAGGGGACTGCTCTCGCAGTAAGCGCTTCCCTACCAGGAAGCTCTGTAGCACCGGGAGTCATTTTTGTTACGTCTATAGATCGGAGAATGCAGGAAAGATGTTAGAAGGAGTGTAGATGATCTGATCTGCGAGGTTCACACGAAAACCACCCTTATAACCCGGAGCAAGTGCCCCATGTCCGATGGCTTCGTCGGAGTACTGTCACCCGAGACGTTACAAAGGCTGTGCATACAGATGGTGGAGACAAGGTTCAATAATAACCACAAATTCAGCTCTTGTTCTATCGAGTATTCTGCAGTATTCCAACGTCTCTACCGCTTCATTTCTCCGACTCTTTCTGGCCCATATTACAATGGATGATATCTACGCACAACTCGAGCGACGCGCCCTGAGCCTTCTGCATCAATTACACCAACGATCCTCAGATGCCAGGGCCATTATCATTTTGGCTGGTCCTCCAGGATCGGGAAAGTCAACTATCGCTTCTCAAGTCGTACAAAGGATCAATTCCCTCCACGGAACTCCGATAGCAAAAGTTCTTCCAATGGATGGATATCATTACTCGCGCTCGCATCTCGACAGTCTCCCAAACCACGTTGAAGCCCATGCACGAAGGGGAGCACATTGGACATTTGACGGTCAAGCGGTTCTTGGTATGGTCAAGCAATTACACGAATCACGAGAGAGGCCATTCGCTACGTTGTATATGCCGAGCTTCGACCATGAGATAAAAGACCCGGTTCCTGATGCCATTGAGATAAGCCCAGATGTCAAGATTGTTTTGGTGGAGGGCAATTGGCTCCTGTACAATGAACACCCTTGGAATCAGATTGCCAATTATGCAGATGATGCTTGGTTCGTTGATGTCGACCCTCAACTGGCATTACAAAGAGTTGCGAAAAGGCATGTTGCATGCGGCATTGAGAAGACGCTTGAGGCGGCGATGGATAGAGCAAGGAACAACGACATGAAGAACGGAGAGGATATACGGCGTGGTCTGATTCAGCCCAACATCATCGTCAAAAGTGTTCAAGACGCGTGAACCACTCTAGTTGCGCCTAGTCAATAAAACGCAATTTGGGTTCAATAAGATCATGAGGCTAATTGGTCAACGTCGAGCTTCTGATCACCCCCATATTTGTCGGTCTCCAGGCCTCCGAAGGTGGTTACTCCGCACTTGGTGGCTGTTGCAAGTGTCGGCCAACAGTGCTCCGATGAACGAATGACGCTAGTTTCGAACCTTGCCCTCATGATAACTCCCCCTTCTCTTCGTGACAACGCGTGCATATGCGAGACTAAAGATGGGTCGTCCTCCGATGCACGGTTCTTCGAGCCAACCTCGAGCTTGTCTCAATTGCCAGAAGCGCAAAAGCCGATGCCAACCTAGCGTCAATGGCCCTGGGCCTTGTTCATACTGCGCCCGCGCAGGCAAGGACTGCAGCTTCGTGAATCCACCTGATCGGACACGGCTTACGCGAAAGAACCTCGATGCGATTGAGCTACGCTGTAATAAGCTTGAGGCTCTGGTCCGGTCGCTGCATCCTGATATGGACATCGATGCTGCTCTCGCTAACCTAGAGTCTGGCCAACAAGTCATCAGACGAACTGAGCCAGAGTCGGACGATGACTCTCCTGAGCACGAGGAGCCAGCGCATGAGTATGAGTGGAGTGAGCCATCATTACCACCAGATTTCGACAGCCAAAACGATGAAGCCGCGGCTATGGATGGTATGGCTACGCTGAACAGCCTTGATGCTGGATATTTAGGTATATCGGCCCATCATCAATCTCACCATCACACCAAATGGTTCGGAATCTAACTCCCGCCAGGCAGTAGTTCGGGCGCAAACCTTCTACAAGAAATCGCATCAATGCTTCCAGAACTCGCGGCGTCAAATTCCCCCGCCACAAGCCATGGAAAGTCTCCCAGTCAAACGCACAAGTCAAAACCGTCCCTTGATCCGCCGAATCTAGCAAACGAATCATTGACAAACTATTTCGTCGATGCCTACTTCTTATTCTATAATGTATCATATCCAATTCTTCACGAGCGATCCTTCCGCCAGAAACTTGCCGCTCGGGGCATGCGTCGTGGCAAGTCATCGTGGAACATCATCTATTACCTTGTGCTAGCCATCGGGCACTGGATATCAACGTCAGATAGGCACCACGCAGGGTCGCGATTCTACACGGCTGCGAGGAACTCGTTGTCAATCCATATGCTAGAATCTGGGACGCTTGAAACGTTGCAAGCGCTTCTTCTGATGAGCAATTATTTGCAGAAGATGGACAAGCCAAACACAGGCTATCAGTTCACAGGTATCGCGTACAAGATGGCGCTTGGACTTGGAATGCATCGAGAATCGCCGAAGCTACAAGATAACGTTGGACTTGAAAGGAGGAGACAGTTGTTCTGGGTCCTTTACTGCTTCGATAGCGGGTTCAATATTACAACAGGGAGACCGCCATATGCGCAGGAAGGTATCATCGATACCGCACTACCAAGAAATATTGACGACAAGGTAATTCATTTATCCGGTAGCGGCGTTGATCGTGATATGCATACTAACAACAACAGGACCTCGAACCTACCATGCCCCTCCCTCCTGAACTCGACACACCAACCACACTATCTGCCATCATCGCACAAGCAGAACTTGCGAAACACGCAAATTCGCTATATCTGGAGTATCTCACCGCGAAGACATCCAACACCAAGGTCGAGTACCAAGTCGCCGAGACTATAGAACGGACTCTCACCGACTGGCGGCAGAAGCTGCCACAATACTTCACTTCTGCAGACGTCCCAGTATGGTTCGCTGGTCCGCGGGCTGTTGTTCTGTGGAAAGAACAGAATCTGCGCATTCTTCTTTGGCGCGGAAGTAAGCGAACTCACCCGTATCTGCCGAACAAGACCGATGCGGAGACACGCTGTCTTGATGCTGCTATGCAAAGCATCAACGATATAACGTCTTTCTGCCGTGAAAATGAAGGTATCTTGCATCTGGGCATCGTCTGGTATGCCACATATTTCTTGTTTCAAGCCGCTCTTGTTCTTGAAGCGAGCTATCTAGATCGTGAGGCCCAGGACAAGCTGGATAGCGAGACGGCCGATTGGCGGTTGATGGTCCACAAGGCGCAGAGCTGCCTGGTAACTTTCTCAGCGAGAAGCAGATCAGCCAAGCGGTGCTTGGAGATCTTGGAACTCATAGATAGAAGGGCAGAAACAGCAGCGAACACTCGTCGAACTGTCCTCACAGTACCTGAGCTTGTTGAAGAAGCACCAGCTACGCTACAGGCCCCAGTGGGTGACACTGAGGCATCGCTTCCACCGGCTGATCTACAGACTTTTGGTGGAGATCTCTCCATGGGGGCGTGGACACTGAACGACGATGGATCAGATCCTACGATGAGGATGATTATGGATAATACCCCATGGGGATACCTCGATAACGCACCCATGGATACTCTGTTTAACGACTGGTTACCCCAAGATACCTTTGAAGAATAATTGTTTGGGAAATCTCTGTATCTTAGCATTGCTTGTTACTAAGGGAGTATATAACCGCCATCAATGATGATGTCTGATCCAGTGGTATAAGTAGACGCATCACTGGCCAAATACAAATACAAGCCCTTGATTTCCTTTACATGCCCCTGTCTGCCTAGCACCGACATGCGATAAGCTTCGTTGAGTGCCAGTGGGCCAGCTCCCATCTTGGTATCGAAGAAGCCTGGGGACACGATGTTGACGCGGGCGAACTCTCTCCACTCGCGGGCCAATGACTTGCCAAAATGCGTCACGAATGCTTTCGTGCCATTGTAAATAGGTTGGTCAACAGGAACGTTGACGATGTGTGCGCTCATACTAGAAGTGATGATGAGAACGCCGCTACCTTGTTGCTTGAAGACCTCGCCGACATATTTGGAACAGTAGACAACGCCATTGACTGCGAAGGGTCAGATGGGTACTCGGTGGGGGACAAGAGATGGATTTGACATACCGTTCACGGACATTTGCTTGTCGAATTCGGGGAGAGTCTGTTCCAGGATCGGCTTACTGATAGCCATTCCAGCATTGGCGACGAAAACATCTATTCTGCCAAAGTCTTGTACAACCTGCCTTACTGTCTTTTGTACGGACTCCGCATCGGATACTGTCGTCATGTCAACTTCAGGTCCTCATGTTTGAATGAGACGCCATAAACATACCATCGACTTTGTAAGCAGCAGTCTTGACATTGTGTTTAGTCCCAAGATCCTGGGCTTTTTGGATAGCCACGTCGTTTCTGAAAGATTGTCAGTGATTGAGTAGGAATATTGATATGAACAGTGCGACTTACGAATTGTACCATAATACGACATGAGCGTTGGCCTCAGCCATTCCCTCCGCGACAGCATAGCCAATACCGTCAGCGCCGCCAGTCACGACAACTACCTTGCCAGTCATCTTGAATTGCTCCAAGACATTGGTAGGGGTGTCGGGAAAGGGTCTAGGGAAGCCATCCCGCAGGACGGTACAGTCGGATTCGTTCATAGACATCTTAGTGGCGATCTTGCAATTTGGTGTTGAATGAGGATTGGCTACATTCTCAATGACGGTGAGAATATTTATAGTGTTACTGGCGATTTGATGATCTCCATCTTTATCGGGGTTTTGTCGACCGATACAAGCGCAAGAGCGCAACTGACTCGCCCTCGTGCTAGCTTAAGCGGGGTCACGGTTCACTGTGACCGACGCCATTGAGAGGTCAGTAAATGCTGTGATTGGTTGCTTTAGTTCCATGGGGATGGCCATTCAGTGACCACAAATTTGCTTCTAGAATCTAGAACTGCAAGTCGGAGTTTTCTCTCCTTCGTGACCATGTGTATTGTCAGGGAGTCGGGGATCCGGGGTAAGAGGCGGACAACATGGCGAGGAGCGATATGTTATTATGTACTTGGATGGAATCCGGGAAACTTTTGTAGAAACAGCAGTGTCGCACAATATTGCGGGCGTCAAGACAGAGGAAGAGAAGCAGAGAAGTAGGGACGTAGGGCAATCGAACCGAATGCCTACTGTTTAGGCCAGACCGTCTTCGTCGCCAGGCTCGTCGGAGTATCCCTTTTGGTTGAAGGGTTAGCGACCTTATTTCAACAAAGCCTACAACTCCCTTTAGTCGTGTTTGTAGCTCCCCAAATATTGTAGAACTAAAGTTAGTGTTAGCCCTTGCAAAGCTTTCGAATGATCCCACTAGCCCGGGACCTAATCTCGATGAGGGCATTCCCCGCGGGGAAGATCTGGGGTCTGGAACTCCCCCGGAGTTCAGTGAACCGTAAGACTGTGCATGGGCATTTCTCTGCTTCATAGGTTAACTTGACTATTTAATCGACTGGGGTCCTCTTTTACTGGACTCTTTGTTCCATCACACCAACTTCAATCTCTAAAGTGTCCCTATTTGCCCAGATTACAATTACAGCAACATGACTTCCAAAGATTCAGAGAAGCCAACTATCGTCCATGACCCAGAACCGATTGACCTCTTTACCAAGGAGTCACTGGGCATGGATAACCAAGTCTACGAAACCAAGTTTGCATGTAGGTTCTAACGAGCCTGAATATCTCTATGGCACTGACTAAGTCTGCCAGCACTTGGACGATGGGCCGTTGTCAAGACCTTTTGGAAGGCTCTCCTTTTCTGCATGATCTTGAATTGGGCAGCCCTGAACGATGGCGTAAGCACGATTCCCCGCTACATCTATCTCTATCTCTGCTAACAATTCCCTGCAGTTCCAGCAACAGATCCCCGGTAACGTAATCCCGATGCAAGCCTTCATCAACACCATGTCCGACACTACAATCAACGGCAAGCCAGCCGTCAGCGCTCGAGTTGTGTCCTACTGGCAGGGTTTTGCTGAGATGTCCAAGACTCTCGGCATGTTCACTGGTGGTTACTTTGCCGATAGACTGGGTAGAAAGTTAGTCTTTGACCTTTCTCGGCCCTGTTAATATGCTGACTAGTCTCCAGGAAGGCTCTCTGCGGTGCGATCGTTATACTTCTCGGAGGCTCTATTGCGGAGATCACAGCATCTGGCTGGAAGAGTTGGCTCGGAGCTGCTGTTCTGGTCCGGCTTGGTGTCGGACTTGCACAGTCGATCCTCATCACCTATGTCTCGGAGCTCACACCTTTCCAGATTCGAGGTCTGATGATTGGTGCTTATCAACTATGCCTTGGCATCGGACAGCTTATCAGTGCGATCGCAACACAACTCATTACTATCCATCAGCCGACCAAATGGAGACCTCTGATTGCCACCGAGTTCATTTTTACTGGAGTATGTATCTACCGTCCAGCAAACGGGAAGCTAGAAACTAACTGTCCTCCTTAAGCTTCTTATCTTGATGGTATGGCTCGTTCCCGAGTCTCATATCTACTACGCTCGTAAGGGAGACGACGACAAGGCCAAGAAGTCAATGCTCACACTCTACGGTAACATTGATGGATACGATGTCGTAAGTACCTTCCCATAAACAGATTCAGCAGCCAGGACTAATATTATGCCCTGCTAGGAACATGAGTACCGTGTCATTCAGCACGGTATTGAAGCTGAGCGACAGCTACATCTCGAGTCCAAGTCTTCCTCCTTCTTTGAGATCTTCGACAAGCATAACTGGCGAAGAACTTTGGCTGGATGCATGGGTATCTGCAGTCAATGGGCAGCAGGAGCACCAATTGTGTTCTCGTACTCGACAGTAAGTTTTGTCTGTAATCGTGTATGTTATACAGAGCTGACAGGTCGCCAGTATTTCTTCGCTGTCGCTGGCCTGAAGGATCCCTTTCTCGTCACCATCATTACGTGAGTACAGGAGTCGCGAGTCTATTGTTCTTCTTTCGCTAACGGTGCCAGCTTCGTTCTACTTATTATCGCAATTGTGTCGTCTCTAATCGCTTGCGAGTTCATTGGTCGCAGACCTCTTCTTGTCGGGTGAGTCTGAACCAGAAAGCAGATGATACCGATGTTGACCGACTATCTAGTGGATGTTTCGCCATGATGCTTTTCAACGTCGGCCTAGGAACTACTGGTTTCTTCAAGAACCCAGCATCGGACAAGGCTGCCTTGGGGTGTCTTCTCCTCTGGGTCATTGCTTACGGCTGTTCAGCCGGACCAATTGGTTTTGTTGCCGCCGGCGAAACTTCAACTCCACGTCTACGAGCCCAGACGACCTCATTCAATCTGGGCTGCTATGGTCTTGGATTGTAAGTTACCTTTTCCGATTCACGGACTGTTGGCTAACATATGATCTTCAGTGTCGTCTTCCAATGGACGGTTTCTTACATGATCAGCCCGGATGCTGGTAACCTTGGCGTCAAGGCGGTGTTTGTCTGGGCTGGATTGTTGGTACCCACGACTGTTCTTCTTTGGTTCTTCTACCCCGAGGTCAGTGCTACGCAAATGGCTACAAAGCGACTTACACTAACATTCTTAGACCTATGGTCGAAGTTACTGGGAGCTCGACGAGCTTTATGCCCGGAATATCCCCGCTTGGCGATTCAAGAATACTCCAACTTTGGTTGACGAAAGTGGTGGCAAGAACCGAGCTCTGATGTCTGGACGAAATGAACATTCAACAAACCAGAATATCATGACTTGATCGATACAAGAGCATTCATCAAGTTAAGTTGGCTGGTGTTCAAACTTGTCTCGGTATCCTAAACTGTGCCATCGGTGCTGTCTCTTGTACCAATGCACGAGGACGATGATCTTTGGTCTGCTCTGTTGCCTTCAGTGTATATATAAGTAATTTGGACAGCACCCTTCCATTTAATGCAACCTGAAAACATTCACACGAGAAGTCAGAGTGGAGGCGATGACTGAGATTAGACTGTATTGGAGATCCTGCCCTGTTCAAACCTCAGCGCTACTAACTTGCGAATGAGAAAGCCAGCCCATCGCCATATATGAAAGCCTCAGACCCAGTGAGTGGTGGCTCCGTAATTTCCGCCATCAGCAGGGCGAAGAAAGTCACTTCGAGTGATCTTGCCATTCGCCTGTCGACGTCCCTTGATAAGGCTAGTAGAGGTTGCCTTGAAGTCTGCATCCTGCCAAGATCCACCCTTCTCCCAGTTGTTGCCCTTACCCTTCACCGAAGTGAGCGTGTTCTGCTTGCTCAGGCTACTGGAGCCGGCATTGTTGGCTGCAAGGTTGTTCTCATAGGTAGCCTTGGAAGAGCGTTGGTTGAAACCTTCCTCGCGGTTCTTCCAAGCAGTGTTGTGGATGAGAGTCATGTCACCGGGCATGTTGTTGTCGCTGAAGCCACGGCGGTTACGGAAGGAGAAGTTGTTGCGAGCGACATGGTTGACGTTGGCTCGGTTGACGGGTGATCCACCGCCGAGCTTGATGCCAATGCCATCTCCTCTGTAAGGGTTGAAGTTCCAGCGATTCACACCATTGTCGAAAATGATATTATCAAGGATGGTGACAGAAGATTTGAACTCATATAGATCGATACCATCATCAGCATTCTCATAGCTGCGAATACCACGGATGATGTTGCCAGCACCTGAGCCTTCCTTGATAGCCATACCATCAGCATTTTGGCCATTGTTGCGTGGATCAGCGTTGTTATAGGTGTCGAGATAGACTATTTCGTTGTTTGAGATACTGTTCTGCATGTGGAAGCCAGTCTCATAGTTGCTGTGGGTGGTCAAGCGCTCGAAGTAGTTGTTGTGTGAATCCTTCACGTAGACACCATAGGGGCCCTTGGTGAGAGTGATGTGGATGAATCTCCAGTACTCTGCCTTCTCGACATGAAAGATGCCGCGATCCTTGCCAGCAAGGCTGGCACCAAGGGCAGCCGGAGTACCAGGCATCTTGTCACCGTCAATGATGACTTCTTCATTGTTGTAGGACCTGATGGTGTAGGGCTTGCTAGAGGATCCTTTCTTGGTGAAGTGGATGTTCTTGGACGGGTGGTAGGTTCCCTTTCGGAGATATATGGTGTCTCCAGCACTGGCAGCATTAACTGCAGCCTGGATGTCGGCCAGAGGGGAGCTGCTAGAGCCTGAACCACTGCTCGATCCGTTGGGAGCGACGAAGATGTCTTTGGCCAGGGCTGTAGGTAGCACGGCGAGTATGTACTTGAAGAGAAGCATGATAAAGGAATGTGAATGGAAACGAGCCTATGAAGGAGCGACAAAGAAAATAATGAGGAAAATATTTTGATTCAAGTTCAACTTTGGCTTCACAAGATATCTTCTTTCCTTTTGTAGCTCCATCGACCCATGCTTTCACACATTCTTCTGGAAGTTCGGGTTTCCAGCGATGCCACTGTCATTATACACATGGCACTTGGCGCCTCGGCACTCTTGGCTGTGTGGGTTGCTGCTGAAGACTACGAGTAAGAGCTCAAGCCAAAGCCAAGATACAGTAAGCTTAAATTTCCACAAATGGCGGAGAGTTTTATCTTGAATCTCTGGTCACTTTTTCCTGCCTCAAGCCACGCGTCATACTCCATGATCGGACGTAATTCCCATAATGGTTGTTGCGGAGCCTATTGTCCCGAGTTTTGATTGAAGCCAAGATATCCAAGAAACGATCGGGCCGTGTCAGTCTGTCAAGACTCTTGGCGGGTTTGAAGCCACGAGAGAAGACCTTGGCAACTCTTCAATACGGCATTGACCGGATATGGACTCCACTCTAATCTCAAGATAGGCCGGTATGGGGTTATCCATTATTAAAAGTTGATGATCTCATGCTCAAGATATAAAGACTATTAAAACCATGAGTCGACAAGCAGCAATATGGCTCAAGATTGTATTCAATTTCTGCCATCCGTTTCTATTACAATTGTATATAGTAAAGTACCATCCTATCTATCTGTATAATCTATCCTTCCTATATTATCCTGGTGCCCATCACAATATCTCCTCATTAAATCATCTGTCTCTATTTTGTTTCCTCGGTGGAGCCTAAGTTTCTATCTTCGTTGCCTAGTAGGTGTAAACCTGCTCCGGCCCTAGGGATCCATAGTCCCCGGAGCCATAGGGGTTGGATAGTGTGACCTGCTGGCCGTTCACATCACTCACGCCGAACCAAGCAAGCTCCTTATCTCTCACGACAGTAATGACAGCAAAAGGAGGAGCAGGCTCAGTAGCATAGCCCCAAGAGATACTGAAGCTAGATCCATCAGTGCAAGGTTCATTAGCCCAGCTTTCTGTAGCAGCACTGGAGCCAGGCACACGGATGATGGTACATCGCTCAGTCTTGTCATCAGCCTCAACTATGAAGTTATAGTCACATCCATCGCCGTCTTCACCGCAATAACGCGTGAGGTTCTGGATTGCCCAAGTCTTGCCGACAACAGGTATGGGGCTAGAGTATATACTAGCCACTGGTTGAGTGCCGTTGGTCGGGACGGGAAAGGAGGGGTGAGTTGCGGCTGAAGTTGCTGTGTAGGTGATATGAGCTGAAACGCAAAGTTCTGGGTGAGCCGGGCTGCATCCTCCAGGGACAATAGGGATTGGGGTGAAGGTCGGGGGAAGTCCCGTATGATAAGGCAGTGGGCATGATCCAGGATGAGCAAGATTGCAACCTCCTGGTATACCAGGGATGAGAGTGAAAGTCTCAACGGGAACTGTGTCGTTCTTGCTGGCAGATGCAATCCCTGTCTTGGTGGGCTGCGCAAGAGATGCCGTGGCAGAAGAACAATACTCGCGAATTCGTACACTATCTTCGCCAACACAGGCTGTCAGGGTGCAAGAGCATGCTACTTCTGGTGTTCCAGCCGTGATGCAAGCGTTGTAAGCCTTCTCACAGTCATCGTAGGATGTAAGAGGAAGGGCCAACACGGCTGAGACGAGAGTCAAGAGTGAGACGAGCTTGTTCATGACTGGGAAAGAGATCTAGTTGATGTTGAACGATTAGGTGGGTAATAAGGCGTGAAGATTGAAAATATCTTTGTTCTCCGATATGCTGTGATGTTATCGGTTGGTGATGTTTCAATCTCAGACGACATGTCTTGGAGGTTATATAGTCAGATGGTGAAGCTCAGCGTTGATTCTGTTAGTACCCCAACCTCCTTCTTACTGTGTGCTTTTCTCTCATGACAAAACGCAAAGTTTGAGCTAGAAAGGGCTCTATCAAAAGCCTCCACTCTTCAAATGGTTTGCCAATGTTAAGAGAGTCGACTCATGGATCTGACATCAACATCACACTACAGAAAGCCCAGCCACTGTCATTATAATATTTTCACCACTCTCACAGCTGAATTACTGTCGAGCAGCCGATGATTTGCGTGGCCAGCTGCTCAGCCAACCTCCGATTTACACAATGGCTCCGCTAACACGAGAGGATCATTGAAGGCCTAGAGCGAAAGCAGCAAAGACGTTATTCTTACTGGCAAGCGAGAAAAGTCTAATTGACACTCAACGAATCAAGTTGCCGTGCCGTGCATGTAGCACGTTGTTGAAAGGGATAACGCAAACCTTAAATCGATGGTTGCCAACTTCTGGAATGTGATTGATATAATAAACATCTGATGTAATTGTTTATCTACTGCTATTCCTTTCTTTCATTGAAACCTCGTAACTTGAAGGTAAGCCCGAGACTTGGGTTTTGTCTTCGGTCCATATTGTCTCTGTTATACTGCAACTAACCAGTCAGTGGCAAGATTTTTAGTGCTAAGAATATATTAATGGTTCACCGTTTTTCTATCACACCTTCTCTAATTTTATTGCTCTTATCGTGCGTAATGTATTCGTATTACATACACTTTTGTTCAGGCTATGGCCAAAGATTCTTGCCTCTTTCTGCTTAATAGATGTCGTTCCCCTTTTTAGATTCCAAACATGCTACTGAAACACATTCTAGTAAAGTTGAAAGCATTTTGCTGATCGTCCTCGTAGTGAGCTACCACGTAGCTGGCGTTATTGGGGCGTTGGAAGCCATAACTGATGGTGCCATTATATGGACCGTCAACAATATCATGATGCTCAGTCTTGTCAAATTTGCCGCGCAAGCACGCCAACAGATCAGCCTGTATACCTGGACCACTTGTGAACTTTCCGCAGGGAGTCTTGCGAGTCTCAATGCATGCGATGACAATCACGGCAATTCCAAAGCCCAACAGAACGCCGGTGTAGAATTTGTACCAGGTGGATGATATGCAGGGCAAGACAGTAGACTTGGCTCCTTTGATGCCCATGTACCAGGTTGTTATCAGGGCAGTCATCCCGATCACGCCCAGGTAGAAGATAATCACCACGAAAGTCGTCGTAGTGTAGAAAGTGTTTCCCTGTGGGACCATGAACGACAGCGCCAACCCCAGGAGAGCGAGGAGCACCAACGCATAAGTGCATCGAAATGTTCTGCTGCCCCAAAAACCCGAGTTGTGAAATCTTTGGGGTTCAATCGTCGTAGGATTCGCAGCCAATATCTCGAATGATGTCGTGCTGCAGACCACGGGTTGTGGAGAACCAGCAGGGATGTCCTCCATCGAGGCGAATGAGAACTCGTCCGTAAGCCAAAGACAGCTGCACAGCCTCAGCAATCCAAAAAGTGCCATTGGAAAGAAAATGATGTCGACAGCCATCAAAAGTGTGAAACTCGGGGCAGAAGGGTCGATTTGACTGCCCAATAGTAGGATTACGGCCT